AACATTTGCAAATACCATGCAAATAATACACAAACCTCATCTGTTTCAAAAGTCTTTGGTTTCAGTTCTGGAACATGCACTTCTTCATATCCTGAAAATGAAAGTAAAACCTTAAAATTCAAAAGGGTTGCTTATATACTATGTACAGACTTAATACATTTCAGTTAAAAGTATATTATATTAATCCTACACTTCAATTGTATGACCCATAATGTTTTATGTGAGCTTCTCATATGCTTTACTTCTGGCAATTTAACGCTGATATCATTAACTTCCTTAGTATATCAGTAAAAGTGTTAAAACCTTTTCTCTGTTTTCTGTACGACCCATCAGGGAGCTGACATCTTTTGTTGGCCATCAGACGACTGCCCTGACTGAAGGTCAAGTCTTCAAGGTCAAGGAGATGTACTGTTCCGAGCTTTTGCTGAAAAATTTTGGATAAGTGGGTTGTTAGAATTTATGCAAAACATCAATCACTTTAAATTCAGTGAGATTCTATTTTAAAAGCATTAAACATCAGGCAAGATCTAAGAATTTAGAAATTTTTAAAAGACAAATATGTGAACTCAGAAATTCATTTACTAGATGACAATTTTAATTTTCTCTCCAAGTTTGTCCTTAATATTTTCTGAAGCTGTTTGAATCTCTTTTTAAAGTTATCTAAGATCCAACATTCAAACTATAAGTTGAACAGTCTTAAAAGTAATCTCCAATATAAACCCTCCTATAAAAACTCCCAGTTCTCCTCAGTCCCATCCCCCTGGTCTATACCTGGCTCTGGTCCACGTCCATGGCCTCGATGTCTGCCGCGACCCTTGTCTGTCTGGCCTGCTGTCTCCTGGCCCTCTCCTCAGACACCAGGTCCTCTTTGTCTGTGGCCCCCAGCGCCCGGAGGTACCCCGACAATTCCGTGTCTGACGACATCTTCTCCTCGATACTCCTCTTCTCTTCATCTGTCTGAGCCTGGGCCAGCAAGGTACAGTACAGGACTAAAATAAATTCACAAAACTAGAGTACAGGACTAAAATAAAGTCACAAAACTATAGTACAGGACTAAAATTGAGTCACAAAACTGTGTTAAGGACAGATGATACAAACGAAAAATGGATGCCTGGATTGGTATATATTTTTGACTTCATTTCATTGCAAATGATGCAAATAATAAACTTCTAGAATATTAAGAAATTGTAAACCTTCTTTGATATTCAAAATTCTACTCTTCTGAAACCAGCCTTATTATTCTATACAAATATTTTTCACTTCAAATCCCATTTTTGTGAAAATTTGAATAAAAGATTAAAAACTATGCGGTGAAAATTATTTATTTTACTCATTTAAACATAACTCAAGTTGTTATTTCCGTATTTTTTGACAAAAGTTTGTTTGTATCATATGTCCTTAAATACCAAATAAAGGAAAACAGATTTTTACAGAAGACACAGGTATTAACAATAAAAGCAACAAGAATAACAACCTTTTACTACTTAAGACTAGAATAAGGTAACTAATAACAGTAGCTTTGAATTCAGAATGACAAATGTGATAGCATGATACAGGGACAGGACTAAAGTGATGAAAGGAAAACAGAACAATATCCTATCAAACATGAAACAGTTATGACAGAAAATTATTCAGATACAAATGTAATGGTGTGTATGAATGATAATAATTTTTTGGCTTACTCATTTGTCTGTGTTGTCTGAGGACTTTGATGAAATCAAACATGTCGAAACCCAGCAACATGACCAGCTGGTTCTCTGCCTCCCGATCGTCTCCCGCAGTCTGTAACGACAGTCAGAAACAAGATTCTTTTAAAGTAACTCAGTATAAAGATATCAGTCGTGAATGTGAAAGAAAAACAGGATAATTTAAATCATTTAGTTAATGAAATCTCACTGGTAGATGAAGTCATATTTCTAAAAATACTGCATTATTAAGATTTCTTGAATTTTTTAAAAAAGATTTTTAAAATTCAATTTCAATGAAATGATACTGAGCCAGAATTCCTTGTCATTATAATGGTACCAACCTTTAAGATCTGTAGCACCTCCCTAGCTTTTGTCTGAGCCATTGTTGGGTCATCAGGGTAATGCTTACTCAGTTTCCTCTGAAGCCAGAAGGCATCAATATTACGAGGATGGAGTCCAGAATCCGATTTGTTACCCCCATCCTCTCCAGTCAACTGCAAACAAGAAATTATATACATATATCTAAACTTCACAGCATAAAGTACTTTGAATTTTGTGCTAAATGTATATTTTAACATCTTCTATTGTGTGTCACTAGAGACCTTGTATCTGCACATTGTATATGTTCTTAATATTTTGTGCACGTAATGACTACATGTTCATTTTTTTTTCATCAAGTGCTGCTAGCACATATACTGTATATATTTTTGTGCTGATAGTGTAGTTTCTTAATATTGAGCAAGGTAAGTGAACATACTTCAGAATTTTGCTGCTTACGTGTATACATGTTAAATAAGTGCTGTCAGTATACACACTAATTTGTCATTTTGTGCCTAAGTGTACAAACATACTACAGTGTGCTTACATTCGTGTGTAGTGTGTCGTTAACATCGGCCTCCACTCCTTCTTCTTCATCTTCTTCCTCCTCTCCATCTTCCTTAATTTCTCCGTAAACATCGCCCTCATCCTGTAAATATCATCATTAATCTATTTTATTGGATTTTCACTGACTTTTCCATTCTTGTGAAATTTTTCTTAGTTAATAACTTAATATTTGTAAAAACATGAAATCTACCTTAATTCAAATTAAAAATCTTCACAGAATGAAAGAAATGTTTTTAATTCTATAAACTTTTGTGACACTCTGTAGTTTGTGTGACTGGCATTTATATACATGGTTGTTTGTAATTCATTTTCCTTACCTCGTCCTCTGACTCTTCAAACTGTACATTTACACCATAAGTCTCATCAATGTTGTCATCTGAAATAAATTACAAAATTATTTATCTCAATGAGCAAAGCCTAGCCTTATGAATTCCTTCTCATCTCAATATTCTTTTTCTGTAGTTCTGACATTTGCATGGGAAAAAGTAAACTATCACTATAGCTTGTACTCTTTTTGGACATTGAGACATCATTAGGAATGTCATTTTGCATTGCAGTCTTTACAAATGCCTAAGTGTTAAATGCAAATATATAAATCATAAAACCAATCCCTGGGAAATCTAACACCCACCTGTCTGCATCTTCTCTTCTTGTCCCCAGTCTGTGATTTTCTTGCCAAGGTTGACAAGTACAGCAAACCTTTCTTCAGCCACACCTCCCAGTAATTCCTCTACTTCTCTCTTTCTCTCCTTGTCCTTCAATCTGTCATTCTTTAAGACCTGAAGGACCTCATCTGCAGCACCGCACAAAACATCACGTGGCTAAAAAAAATATTTGTCCATATTTTTGGTCTTTTACAGTTATTGGCCTCTTTTCCCAAAATTAACATTCAAAGCAAAAAAATATGAAGAGTATATGTATCTTGGTATAACTGTGATAAAAACAATTTCAAATTAATTGTCTTAGATGTACTACATTCTGTCCTCCACACTCACCTGATCACCTAGAGCGGCCTGAATAAAGCTCAGAATAACCTCATACGTCTGTCTTGTTTCCTGGGTTTTAGGTCGGTATAAGATTCCTACAAAATCATCTATCCCATCAGACAGTAAAGTGGTTCCTTTCATTTTCATCATGTCACGCTGTGCTTCATCACGCTTTGTTCTCCTAAAATAAAATTCAATAATTAACTTAATACTGTAAAAGCACAAATATTCGTGGGGGAATAAATTTCGTTTATTTCGTTGATAACTATATTCAACGAAATTAAATCCCACACGAAAATTTATTTAACTATATATTGAATAGGGTTACTTTCAAAACAACGAAATTAAATGTCCACGAAACTATTTTTGATGACAAAACAACGAAATTTTATGCCAACGAAAATTTGTGCTTCTACAGTAACTTTTTTTAAAAGACTTCATTTACAGCGCTTTGGCCTTTCTAACATCCAGCCATTTAACTGGACACTACAGTTTGCGATAGAAATTAGTTAGTGCAAAGTTCCGAGGATCCATATTATTTTACTTTAGTCAAAATTCATTATTTACATGCAATAAATTCAACATAGTACATATAGCGACTTTCACAGAGGACTGTTAGACCAGTATGGCAGTATATGGCAGTATGCTGTGTCCTACTTGTTTTTGCGCTCCTCCATCTGTGGGGGCTTAGATCTCATGGCTTTGTCCCCCATTCTAGTTCCAATTGTCTTCCCGACAAGAGAAGTAACTTCTCCTGTAGGTTCATCTCTACCACGCTTTTCTATCAGAGAGCGATCAGCTTGCAACACAAGATTGGAGTTCTGAAATTAAAAAAAAATATTTTGTCTTGAATTTCAAGACACTAAAATTATACAAGATAAACATTTTTTTTTTACATGATAAACATATTTTACATCTCCAAGCGTTGCAAGAAAAAAAACTTTAAAAGCTCTCCATCATTTAGAAGAAGAATGACACAACGAATGCAAAACGTAGAATCATTTGAAAAGAAAACCGGAAAGTTTTACCAAATTTTTAAGACATAACGTTATCTTCGACTGACGCTTACCGCTTTGTACTCATACTGAAGTGCTCTGGCCGCTGCACCAGCCATGTTTGCTTAGTTGTTGTTCCTTTACGTAAAATTCACAATGAAAATAAATCAAAGCATGGTTTTCACACAAAACGTACAAATGTCGCTCCCACTAGATGTCGCTTTCCATTTCCGCTTTTTGTTTCTCAAGCCGAACCCGATGGTTTTTATTCTCATTTCATTTTTAAGATTCAAAATGTGTTTTTTTTTTCTCAGATTACTCTGTCTATTTAGATTATGATGAATGGGACAATTTATTTATATGATAAAATATGCATAAATTAAACGCTAAACATGTGTTATATTTTTATATCGGGTTCAAGCTCCGACATGAGGACGTCAACAGACGTTCAGGTCGGTCAATCGTTCAGGTCAGATGTCAGTGCAAATAGGTAAAAAGGGAAGTAAAACTAAAAGTAAACAAAGGTTATAAACAAGGTTGGAAGATTTACGTCACGTATTTCCTGTTCTTTACAAATACATATCATTTCTACAAATGATTTTTTTTTGCTGGTAAGTTTTATCAACTCTTTTCAGGGTTTATTTTGAAGTTGGATAACAACTGATTATTTACACCGAAATATGAATTTTGTAATACACATATGTTATCGTAAACGCTTAGACTGATAGATAAATTAGTGCCAGCTGTTATGGATCCGTTAGAAATAAATCTTGGTGATATCAGTGACCTTTATACTGTTTATTGTGACATAGATCTATTTTTAATGGATGTATTATACAATGTATATAACTTTGTCATATTCTGCAATTTTTTTTTTATTTTAAAAAATACTAGAGCAAATAATTAAGTTAATGTTAATATGTTGATGATGTGACCATTAGGGCAAGCGCAGGCACTTATTCAGTTTTAATGTACATTGGGCTTATCAAACTTTCCTTGACATTTGTTCGTCTATACTCTCGGACATCACATTACGTTGTATGTAAGTTGCATTACCAAACAAAGCCAGAATAGTACTGATTTTGATAAAAAAAAGCTTCATTTATTATTTATCTGCAATATATCATAATTCAAATCAAGGTTAGTTAAAAAACATTTGTTAATTAAACTTTTGATTTTGTTCTTTTGAGAACGTAACTTTAAATTTAGCAAGCGATGCATTCTGGGAACAGAGTAACTGCAGAAAAAAAGTCATCAGAATCAATATGCAAAGTCTGTGTTTTCTCTTCACCCAGGCATTGCTTATAAAGCTCGCAGTGACAAGCGGTGCTTTGTGCCGCTCACTGAGCTCACTATGAAATTTATAAATTATTATACCCCCCGCAAACGAAGTTTGGGGGGGTATATAGGAATCACCTTGTCCGTCTGTCCGTCCGTCCGTCTAGCTGTCCGTCCGTCCAGCTGTCCGTCTGTCTGTGCAATCGTGTCCGGTCCATATCTTTCTTACAGAGGGACATTAGAATCTACTACTCCACACTAAGATTGCCCATGACCCAAGGGTGTGTCATGACCTTGACCCAAGGTCATTTGGGGAAGTTCAAGGTCACTTGAAGAAACATTTCATAAATCATGTTTGATACATATCTTTTATGGATAAATTTGGTAGGTTCTCATTTCACACAAAGATTGCCCATAACCCAAGGATGTGTCATGACCTTGACCCAAGGTCATTTGGGAAAGTTCAAGGTCACAGGAAGAAAAATTACAAAATTCTTGTCCGGTCCATATCTTTCTTATGGATAAACTTGGTAGGTTTTCATTTCACACAAAGATTGCCCATGACCCAAGGGTGTGTTGTGACCTTGATCCAAGGTCATTTAGGGAAGTTCAAGGTCACTGGAAGAAAAATTTCATAATTTTGTCCGGTCCATATCTTTCTTATGGATAAACTTGGTAGGTTCTCATTTCACACAAAGATTGCCCATGACCCAAGGGAGTGTCATGACCTTGACCCAAGGTCATTTGGAGAAGTTCAAGGTCACTGGAAGAAAAATTTCATAATTGGTGTCCGGTCCATATCTTTCTTATCGATAAACTTGGTAGATTCTCATTTCACACAAAGATTGCCCATGACCCAAGGGTATGTCATGACCTCGACCCAAGGTCATTTGGGGAAGTTCAAGGTCACTGGAAGAAAAATTTCATAATTCATGTCCGGTCTATATTTTTCTTATGGAAAAATTTGGTAGGTTCTCATTTCACTCAAAGATTGCCAATGACCCAAGGGTGTGTCATGACCTTAACCCAAGGTCATTTGGGGAAGTTCAAGGTCACTGGAATAAAAATTTCATAATTCGTGTTTGATACATATCTTTATTATGGAAGAACTTACTTCTGAAAAACCCAGCGGGGGTATTTTGTCCCGTTTGGACAGTTCTAGTTATTTTTTATTTCAGTCTGAGATTGTCAGCCCATGAAAATGTAATCTGTTCTTGGATATCGTCCTACATGTAGTATCTCTAGTCACCTTTATGGAAATCCAGGATTCTAACTTGATCGTCCTCTTCAAATCTGGAACAACAGATAACAGTGACCCTTACTTAAAGGTCAGATATCATGGTTAAATTTTAACACATTTTTCCATCACTCAGTGTTACTTATTTTTAGGTTATAACCCATTAAGTACCAGTACATGGTTAGAGTGAATTGAAGTGACACTATAATAGTGTGTTTGTCATGTCCATCTTGGAACTTTTTGTCATTCTCATTTTGTTTTTAGCTCAGATTCAAAGAATTGTTTAAGATATTTTTATTAAACTTTATTCATTAATCAATACAATTTTAATTATATTAACTACTTTCTTTCGAATTTTAAAACAGTTTACATTAATTTGTGTTCTGTTATTACAAAGAACTGAACAAGCCTGGAGATTATAAATAGGATTACCCATGTACTCCTATGAAATGATCATTTCAGTGGTTGAACTCTATATAATTATTAATACATTCAAGCTATAGAATTTTAAACTTAAAACCTGATTGTTCTTTTTCTTTTCAGTTATTGGAAAAACATGGCTTCAAGGGTCACTGCATCCCCATCCTAGATTTCAACTTCATTAACCTTGTCCAGTATGGTCAGCTACTGAAGAAACTGGACAAATATCTGGCCATCGTGTTCACTAGTCCCCGGGCCGTGCAGGCGACGCAGATGGTCCTTAGTTCAGTGGGTAAGAAAACAACCAAGCTATTATGCAAGACAGTCTGCTCACAACATTTCATTCTTGTGTATGTTTATATATCATTATGTATAGTTACTTAAGAAATGTCAGACACCTTTTTCCCCTTTAAATTTTCTAAAGTGTTCTTGGTTTATAAAACAAATTTTCATGAAAGTATATTTCATAAAGTTTTTTATTTTTTATTTAAATTTCATACATGTAATAACATATTATACTGTATTATATGAATAATATACACTATATAATAGGAGTATTTCAAAATAATAATGAAGTTTGTTTTCTTCTAGACATCCCAATGAGCTTCATTAAGAAAGTGAAATGTTATACAGTGGGAAAGGCTACTGCCCAAGCAGGTAACATAACCCTAGAAAGAGAGTATTTTCATGACAAAATAATGTAATTAGTTGAAATTTTTACATTTTTACACCAAATATTTTTCATATCATTATTTGCTGGGTGTGTTTGATTTGTTCAGTTGTAACACTGCAGTTACTGTTACACTAAAAGAATGTTCTTGCATTATGATTTCTTGCTTATAATTTTAATTTCTTTTATTAGATAAATAAATAAACCATCTTCAATACTAAGGAAAAATTTTATTTGGTGAAAGTGCAAGTTGTTTATTTATTTTTCAGCCAAGAAACTGGGTTTTGATCCATCAGGGGAATGTTCTGGCAATGCAGAACTCTTGTCACAGTTTATTGTTCAAGGTAGGCATGCTCTCTGTATTGCTTTCCCTTTGTTGTTTATGGACTTCCATGAATATAGCTTATAGTAGTTAATAATAATCAACTTGAAGGTAAAGGATAAGGATATCTAAAATATAATTGTTTGAAATTGATTGACTCTAAGCAACTTGATTAATATTATTCATCACAACATTTAAGACAAAATCAAATTACTTTATAAGGTGTTGAGTATTAACAGGACTCCAGATTCTTTATAACTGGGACCATTCCCATTCAGCTACAAAAGAAATCATTTCTCTGTTATATGTGTTTTGATTTCCCTTAGAGTCATTGATTTCCCTTAGAGTCATTGATTTTACAAATATCTATGGCCCGAGCCCCATTCCCGAAAAATAGTATGATAGCCCAGGTTTTAAAAATTATATTTCCTCTGTTTACAGAAAATAAGTGTGCTGAGAACCGAGAGGTGCTGTTTCCCTGCGGTAATCTGTGTAGAGATGTAATACGAGAAACGCTGACAGCTCACAGCCAGTGTAAAAGTATGTATCCATTACGTACGTTATCTTCATCTGTATAAAGATGTAATACGAGAAACTCTGACAGCTCACAGCCAGTGTAAAAGTATGTATCCATTACGTACGTTATCTTAATCTGTATAAAGACATAATACGAGAAACTCTAACAACCCACAGCCAGTGTAAAAGTATGTATCCATTACGTACGTTATCTTAATCTGTATAAAGACATAATATGAGAAACTCACAGTCATTGTAAAAGTATGTATCCAATACATACTTTATCGTTAATAATTTGACCAGAGGGTGTGATATGACCTTGATACAAGGTCACCAAGATTGTGTGGGCAAGTTCAAGGTCACTTTTCCAGAAGATAGCTTTCTTAAAGTACTGAGTTCTTGGTTTTAAATATTCTTTCCTTTTCTCTACAACTGGAGCTTCTACCCTGACCACTTAGGTGTAAGGCCAACAATTAAAAAAATGATTTGTTTGATGTACTCCGACTGACCCATCAAAAATGCCCCTTCCCAATTATTTTTTTCATTAATTTGAATTTATAATTTTTTTTAAAAATTCCATGGAAATAGACATAATGTTTCATTTTAAAGATTGATAATTTCACAAAGAAGCTTTCTTTTTAATGAACGTTTTTGTAGCAATAAACATTACATCTGTCTTCTACATTGCATAATGAAAACATCAAAGTCTGCAGGTTTTTTGTAATAAGAAATCAATTTGTCAGATGGCAAAAAAAAACCTACGGTACCTAACTACCCACCTTGAAAAATGTTGGTCGGCATACAAACAGAATTTTTTATATGATGGCCTAAGTCCTTGTGGAGGTTCATTTATAGCTTCACTTTATAAGTGTGTGAATGATTTTTGCAAACCTTGTTTGCTTGTTTAATGAACACTGCATATTAGTAGCAATTCATCATTCCAGTATTTCAAACAATCTCCAAGTGGTTTCATATACTGGTAGCAATGTGTTACTTTGCTTCATTCTTCTATCTACAAAAAGTTTATGTACTGTTTTATCTATTTTCAGTTTTCCGTTTGGAAGAAATAAAAGTTTATGAAACAATAGCCAAAGAAGATATATATGATGAACTGTTTAGGATCACCCAGAGCAAGGTAATACATGTATATCTATCATGTTTAATAGTAAATTAGCTTAAATTCAAAAAAAAAAAAGATAAATGAATTAGCACAATATAGCCATATACCCGTATACAATATCTCATGATATATACTTCTACAAAGATTCTAAGTAACCCAAAAGAAGATAAGTTATATGTTTGGCAGTGTAGTAGATGTAATATGAAGCACAGTATAGATAATCCACAGATTTTTTCACGATATGAAAACAGTTGGGGTTAGCCCCCTTTGTACAGTTAACCAAGTACTGGAGTTTCAGAGCAATATCACAAAAAATTACCCCTCCAGGCCATCTTTAAAAAAATTGTTTGTTTGACCTCTTTCAACTGGCTGAAAACTTTTTTAACCCCTGGGAAACAATAATTTTAATCTCTGTATTCCTGAATTTTTTCATCCCGCCATGTACATGTATGTATGTTGAAAATTTTCTAGGAAAAAATTTCTAACCCAATATTACCCATTTTTTTCCCAAGTGGGAAGAGGTCAAACAGACATTATTTTAAAGATGGCCCCACCAGTGAGTATTTTTTTTTTGGAGGTGGGGAGAAGCCGGGAGGGAGGGGAGATAAAATTTTTTTTCTTCAAGTATTTTGTGGGACTGGTAGAATTTTTCATATCTTTAACACATAAATCAAAATTGTACACAATTTTCAGGATTGTTACTTTGGTCTAAATAAAACCAGATTCTACACCCACATTTTTCGTTTCGTATATACATGTACATGTAATGGAGGAGAATGCTCACAGACTACACCCTAGCGTTTTCACAGTGGGTGAATAAACCAAACCTAGTGGTCCGGGTTTTTTTTTTTACCTCAATCATACATCACTGGTCCTATTAAGGGCTTATGATTAATATCACTGTACCAAAATAACCTGTAAAAATGATTATTGACAAGATAAGGAATTTGTAGAAATGTCAATCACAACATTGTACAGTAACACTAGATCTTAGAGGATTTAATATCCTGGCTGAATTTAACTCACTAGTGGGCGGGATCCTGTAATATTTCATTAGATAAGACCCGTTAACCCAGCAGCTCTGAATGTCAAGGACTGGGTTGATCCGTGTATGGGGATATTTTAAACCTTGTCTCACCACGTGCTAGTAACTTAATATGTCATGTCCTCAAGAAATATAGGGTGTTTGTTACTATAAATAGCCCCCAGCAGCAACAGGAAGTTGTTTTGGTCTCTTTATGGGTTGTTATTAACTGGTGATAAATTTACAGTCTTAAGGTTCCAGGGTGTTAAAGGGTAAGTTATTGATTCATAGCAGCTTCTTGTTACTAGATGTGGAGATCTGAAGTTTTGATTGAGGAATATCACTGATGTTTTTCTCCTTCAAAGCAGAAGAGTTAAATGTTTTTGTTAACCTTTATACATTATATTATATTTTCATGTGAAATACTTGAATTTGATCTGTCCAGAAATGTGGCCTGCTTTTGTCACCCTCTGAATGATGTAAAAAAAAAAAAAAAAAAAACTAAAAAGATAGAACTTAGCAACAGTCAAAATTTCCTATATAGCTTTTAACGCAAGTTACATGTACATTTCTGTACACCTGACTTAAGTCGGAGGTAAATAAAGTGATGCTACAATGCATAGTTTCTTTATCATTAAGCAGAAAACATTATTCACGATGCATCGCAGCATGTAAATTCATTTGGTTGCTTAGGAAGTAAATTCCTTATCCAGGATGATCACTCAACGGTGTACAGGGATGTACTCTGGTTGTATTCTATACCCTTGGCTTTTGCCTTTGGAGGTAATGGGGTAAAACCAGGGGTAAATCACTGTACACCTTTGATTGCCCCGAATAACCAATAATATTTCTCTGTTATCTACATTTATCTCCTTTATTGTATACACAGGTGCCTATACATGCCATAGTGATGTTTAGTCCCTCTGGTGTTCCCGTACTTATCAACACAATAAGAAAGTGTCCACAGCTGTCATTACACTCAGTCAAGGTAAGTGTAATGTAACACACATAGAAAGTGTCCACATCTGTCATTACACTCAGTCAAGGTTAGTGTAACACACATAGAAAGTGTCCACAGCTGTCATTACACTCAGTCAAGGTAAGTGTAATGTAACAGACAGAGAAAGTGTCCACAACTGTCATTACACTCAGTCAAGGTAAGTGTAATGTAACACACAGAGAAAGTGTCCACAGCTGTCATTACACTCAGTCAAGGTTAGTGTAGTGTAACACACAGAGAAAGTGTCCACAGCTGTCATTACACTCAGTCAAGGTAAGTGTAACACACAGAGAAAGTGTCCACAGCTGTCATTACACTCAGTCAAGGTAAGTGTAACACACAGAGAAAGTGTCCACAGCTGTCATTACACTCAGTCAAGGTTAGTGTAGTGTAACACACATAGAAAGTGTCCACAACTGTCATTACACTCAGTCAAGGTTAGTGTAGTGTAACACTCTGAGAAAGTGTCCACAGCTGTCATTACACTCAATCATGGTAAGTGTAATGTAACACACAAAAAAAGTGTCCACAACTGTCATTACACTCAGTCAAGGTTAGTGTAAGACATATAGACAGTGTCCACAGCTGTCATTACACTCAGTCAAGGTAAGTGTAATGTAACACACAGAGAAAGTGTCCACAACTGACATTACACTCAGTAAAGGTTAGTGTAGTGCAACACACATAGAAAGTGTCTATGGCTTTCATTACACTCAGTCAAGGTAAGTGTAATGTAACACACAGAGAAAGTGTCCACAGCTGTCATTACACTCAGTCAAGGTAAGTGTAGTGCAACACTCTGAGAAAGTGTCCACAACTGTCATTACACTCAGTCAAGGTAAGTGTAATGTAACACACAGAGAAAGTGTCCACAGCTGTCATTACACTCAGTCAAGGTTTGTGTAACACTCTGAGAAAGTGTCCACAGCTGTCATTACACCCAGTCAAGGTTAGTGTAGCACATAGAGAAAGTGTCCACAGCTGTCATTACACTCAGTCAAGATAAGTGTAATGTAACACACAGATAAAGTGTCCACAACTGTCATTACACTCAGTCAAGGTTAGTGTAATGTAACACACAGAGAAAGTGTCCACAGCTGTCATTACACTCAGTCAAGGTTTGTGTAAACACTCTGAGAAAGTGTCCACAGCTGTCATTACACTCAGTTAAGGTAAGTGTAATATAACACACAGAGAAAGTGTCCACAACTGTCATTACACTCAGTCAAGGTTAGTGTAACACACAGAGAAAGTGTCCACAGCTGTCATTACACTCAGTCAAGGTTAGTGTAATGTAACACACATAGAAAGTGTCCACAACTGTCATTACACTCAGTCAAGGTTTGTGTAACACTCTGAGAAAGTGTTCACAGCTGTCATTACACCTAATCAAGGTTAGTGTAATTAACACACATAGAAAGTGTCCACAACTGTCATTACACTCAATAAAAGTTAGTGTAAAGTAACACATATAGAAAGTGTCCATAACTGTCAATACACTCAGTCAAGGTTAGTGTAACACACAGAGAAAGTGTCCTTAGCTGTCATTACCCCCAGTCAAGGTTAGTGTAATGTAACACACAGAGAAAGTGCCCACAGCTGTCATTACACTCAGTCAAGGTTAGTGTAACACACAGAGAAAGTGTCCACATCTGTCATTACACTCAGTCAAGGTTTGTGTAATGTAACACACAGAGAAAGTGTCCACATCTGTTCTTACACTCAGTCAATATAGCATAACACACTGTGAAATGTCCACAGTTCAGTACATACATGTTGTTATCTGATAGACTCAGTGAAATTTGGTGTCAGATAGGCTTCATTAGATATTTCAATCTAAAATAAGTCTACCTCTTTAAAAACTTGATTTAATCAATGTCAGAAATGACGTACCTTAAAAGCACTAGGTTTTCCCCAAAGCAAGATTTCAAGAAATTTAAAGTTTTGTATGTTTGTTTTTAATTTTTTGTTGGGGGGGGGGGGGGTTAAGATTATTTTATGCACGGAGGGTTAATTATTTCAACGTAAAGCATTTCATTTCTTTTACTTTTATCAATGACGCTAATAGTCATTCGGGCTTCATTGGCATTTCGCAAACTTCCTTTGAATATAGTACAAGACACCCAGATCCACTAAGAATTATTGTAAAGAAGGTTTAAGAAATAGCTTTGTTCTTTCAAGCTTTAATTTCTTTTACCACCAAGCATTCTTGAACAAGCAAACACTTTCGGTCCCTTTGAAGTTTTTGCTGGTGTTATCGTTAGAATCAAATCAATCCAGACAAATTTAAGAGTACATTTAAATTATAAATATTTCAGAAAAAATCGTAGACAAATCTTCTCCAGCTGATGTAAACACAGCCCCACGCAGACAAACGATGACAAACTGATGTTGTTTAATCAAAACACATTTCATCACGCCACGCAGACAATCCGCCCCTCCCATTGTTACGGTCTATCGGATCCACCCTCTTCCATTCACACGCGCGGGTCAGGGGCAGACGGTACACAGCGCGTGAGTTTGATCGTCTGCCAAATGTATCGTCTGTGAAAACTGGGTAATGAAGGCGCGAACATAGTGTTTTCATTAGACGTGGGTTATCTCTGTGTGTTATAGATGGCCCGCTTCTGCTTCCCGTCAACGTTGAAGGGAAACGTAACTTTGTTCAACAGAAAATATCAGTCATTAGCGTTGTTTAAAAAGTTACTTCAAAGCACAGACGGCTATATCGCAACATTTGTTAAGCTTCACAGTTCGACAGCGCTATATTTTACCTTGGAATAATGATTTATCTCATGATTTGTAACAATTTATGTTTCCTAACTGTTATGTACTAGTATTTCTTCCTGAACATTTCAAAACCACACATCGCGATCTTAATGCAAATCAAGGGAAAGACGATTTTGTCCAGTTTATAACACAGCGGACCCCTCATTCTTCCGATTTCTTTTTTAAATCTAAGTTCAACACACTTTATTTCCTATTCGTGTATTTATTTTGCATTAAACATGTTACAAATCAGTGACGTAGAATCGTTTTTTAAAGTGGGGGGCCCAGCCAGAGAAAAAAAATTACTTACCTTAAAATGTTGACAAGAATAAAAATGCCCAAAGTCGAAAGTCCTCTTTGGGGGGGGGGGGCAACTTTTTTCAATGCGAACTTCTTTCAGTACCGATTTTTTTTTTACCTACAATAACACATTTCCATTATATCACAAAAAGTTGGGGGACCGACCGGCGTCTCAATGAACATTTCCTATAGCATAAGTAATGTTGGGAAAAGGGGGGGGTGCCCCCCACCCCCCTGTTGCTACACGTGCCTGCAAATGTAATATACTTATAGTCATAGTCGTGTGATTTGCGTCTGTCTATAGATTCTTTATTTTAGACTCGCAAAGTTTATATTGCGTAAAATAAGTCTGCATATATAGCTTTCGGATCAAGATCTTGAACATGTTTATCAGCAATAATTAGGGATGTCAACGAGTACCCGGTTAACCGGGTACTCGATCGAACGTCCGAGTATCGAATACTAAAATCGGTACTCGGTTACTCGGATGTATATTTTTGAATGTTTATAAACTTATTCATTAATGCATTAAACAATCTGTTTTATAACTTAAAATGCTCCTTGCACTTGTACATGCAGTAATTAGGGTTTCCTACGCCTCTAAATGACCGTACTTGCCTGTGACAGTGTTTATACAGTAATTATCATGACCAAGCACCTATTACTTGGCTTTTCTCACCTTCGGCTGTCTTCTACCCTTATTTTTGGTTTGCTTTAATTATTTGTTTTCACTGAACATCGTTTAAGGTCTAATTTGTTTAAATAAATTAAGTAATTTTGTCAATTCTCTGAGAAGTCGTAAATGATATTACACGTGCGATTGTTGATTGGTTGTGTTTGATTACATGCCAGTACAAATGGTTGAAGGCAAAGGCTTTAAAATACCGATTTCCATCGTTTCACCAAACTACAAAATACCGTCCCGTAAAACTATAAAATATAGGAGTGAAAAAGAGTACGAAACTCATAAATCCGCTCTGTTAAAAGAACTTGATCAAGTTCAAGTTGATACGGTACGTAGCTCTGACGACGGATACCTGGACGTCAAACGCAACAAAGAGTTACATTACATTTACGGAGTAGACTTTTTTTTTTTTTTTTACAAAAACACTGTGAACCTCTTATAATTCTATTTCTTTTGTTTATCTGATATTTAAATTGAACGTCAAAAAATGTTATTTAAATTTCGTCGTAACAAGTGCTCATCATTGTTACAACAGAAATACATTTACGGGTAAACCTCCAATCAGAGCATGTGGTTTTATTTCTATAAGAGTTTACAATGTTTTACAGTCATCAATTTACTTGTTCATATTTATTTACACTTTTTACCGAGTACCCGGGTACTCGATCGGAAAAACGTCCGAGTAACCGAGTACTAAAAATTGACCGATTTGACATCCCTAGCAATAATAGAATAAAAGCAGTGAGTTTGTTTAGGTAGTGACGCTTTTCGTGGAATCACATTACGATAAATTCATCGCTTATATTTATAAAATCCAGGTATCGGATTATAAGAAATCGTTGAAACTGAAAATCAGTTTACTTCCTACAAGTCAAGGTTGCTTCCTGGACCAGTGTAGGTTACTTCCTGGATCACTAATGTCGATTTCCTGAATAATGTACATGTACTTTATTTCCAGGACCAATGTTGATTACTTCCTGACCAACGTAGTTAACTTCCTGGAATAATGTACAGTAGTTTACCTCCTTAAGCAATGTAGTTAACTTCCTGACCAATGTAGTTTACTTCCTGACCAGTGTAGTTAACTTCCTGACCAATGTAGTTAACTTCCTGACAAATGTAGTTAACTTCCTGGCCAATGTAGTTTACTTTCTGACCTATGTAGTTTACTTCCTGACCAATATAGTTTACTTCCAGAACCAATGTACATGTAGTTTACTTCCAGAACCAATGTAGTTTACTTCCGGAACCAATGTAGTTTTCTTCCTGGAAGTCGTGAGAGAGGCATTTCTTAACATGACAAAATACGATTTTCTCGTTCTTTGTTAATTGATTTGGTTAATCATACCTAATCACTTTATAAAACCTTAGCTGCGCATTTATAATGAGACAGGTCTGACCGATTCATCAAGTACGAATTTCAAAGCCTGGCATTCTATGAGTCACTTCACTCTATCTAACAGTTAAAGTCCACCATTTTTTTAAAAAATCATATACATGTATATCTAAAATTGTTATAAATTAATCATATTTCATTTAAATCTTATCGTAAGAAAAAAAAATCTTTCATAAAAACATTCCAAACGAAAAATTGCCGCACCATGTTGGCCTTGAAGACAAAAAAAAAACCCCGGGTGTTATCAGTCCAGTAAGAATTAGCCATTATTTACTTATATCTATCTGGTGTCACCTGTTGAGATTTGTCAGGGGGGTTTATATTATCAATTGCATCATTCATCATCGTAGATGGATTATTTCATAAATCGCGCGATTTTCGGCGTTGTGTGGATATTGTGGGACAAATAATTTTGGTTGACGGACAGCTCCTAGGGTGTTTAGTCTTTCATTACAGCGGCGTGGCCGTGATATCATCGGTTAAATATTTCTTATGATAATCCTAGATAAATAGCTATCTTCTTACTGAGATCATCATGAAAATAATCTCTTGTGTTTTATTTAAATGACAGATAATGAGAAATGAATTTCTTTAGTTCTTTTAAGGATTTTTGCGTCTCTTTTAGCAATTATAAACTTTGGTCATAAAGATGAACTTGATGAACAACTATTCTCAATATGTGTCCTCTACAAAAATTAATTCTTTTTTTTTAAATTTAATTAAGTTTGTAGTCATTTACTCATTGGAAATTAAAACAGTTAATTAATGAAAGACAAATGTAATAATGAATCAGAATCAAGTTTTTAAAAAATGTTTCATGCCATTACATTGGTAATTCTAGTGAATTATTAGCCCTTACGTTCCTTTTACTAAGTTATTGCGGTAATATCCAAGGAAAATAAAACGTGTATTATTACAATGCACCTTTCAATAACCGACAGTCATGTTTTCTATAAATTCTATGTATATAGTTGAATTAGATAATTCTGTAGATACGAGAACTGAGGAAAAAACCTTATGTTCAGCCTCTTTTGATACAAAGCAGCGTTCTGCTCAAAGCTACAACGATGGACGATTTACGAGATTAACGTGTTTGTAAGCCGCTAAAGCTAATGGTTGTATATATCTCTAAGACAAGATAGATGTGCGACAATTTTCAACACAAAAATGCGCGCCAAAATTTTGGCGCAATTCGCGTACGACTTTCTGAATCAGATAACCTGTATGTTTTCCTGTCTATGACGTCACTGCATTCTTTGATTTCTGTTGACTAGATTCCGGGTTCTGCTGAAGAGGAAATTACGGTTGCGCCACCCTCACTAGAAACAAACACTGGCGATTTTTGTAGAATTTATGACGGCGTTTCGATTAGAATGTGATGATTTTTTGCTGATAAAGATTTATCTTTTGTTATTTTAGTGATATTCATCTTATTGTCGTCATTTTGATGTTTAGTTGTAGAAAATCCGTATTGCTTTGTACTTTGTTAAACTTGACCATCTGTGAGCGCCATTTTGATGACGTCATGTTACATGTACCTGTTCTATATTTGATGAACAATATATTTCTAAGGGTGAAATTAACCAGTCAGTAAAGTTAAACAAGATAATTTTTCCTTTAAAAATGAATTGTTTTGGATGCTGTCAGTGATACAATTGATGGAAAACAAAAGGCTTTAGTTAAGGTGGCGAATTAAAGGGGATCATAGTGGTAATCTAAGTCACCGCGGTTGCCCCCGGAAACATCTCTCACGAACATATTTTACATGATAGTAAATTTTAAAAAAAAACGTCCATTCATTGAAAGCATGCGCCCGAAGTGCACTAAAATGTTAGACATCTTGCCAAATTTTGCGTTTCTATAACCGAAAATAAAAAGAAGTTGCCGAACGAGGGTTGAAAGATTTTGACACAAAACCAAAACAGCGAGATTATTCAATAGTGAGAAAAACTTAACATAAGAACTACACTGTAGAGGTTTCTTTCTACACTACAAAATATCGAGGATTGGCTTTATCTCATTTTGTTATGCAAAGAATTTTTATTTAGAAATACATGTAGTTATTGAAAATACAATAATCTTGTTAGAAAATTTGTTATTTTCTTTGTTGACCCCCGCCCCCACCCACTTTACAAATAATACAATAAAGCGTCACAATATTTGGAGAGTGTTCGATTGGTATTTTCTCTTTTTTTTACACAGATTCTGGCAGTTGGACCAACAACGGAGAGTGAACTACAGAAGCACAATATGCCAGTGTACGCCACCCTCCGTCGTCCCGACCCCCAGAGTCTGATAGAGTGCCTACAGAAGTGAGGAAACCCCACCACCCCCGACAAAGAATGGAGCCATGTCTTTCAATGGTTTAATCTTAGTGCTATTGCCATATTGTATTAATATATAGTCATGCATTTAATACGAACATTGGCGAAGTGTACATAGAAAATCGACATTTGTGCTCAAAAATCACATGATTGCGGCCATGTTTTTCTTTTTAATCACCCTTCATATTTTTTTTAAACTTTTTAATCATGTTTTATATTTTTTTTCTTGGTTTTGGTGGGATTTTTGAGAAAAAGTGGCTTTTTTTCAATTGTAAGTTTTGTACGTATTTCCAATTCACTTCATTTTGTGACGGTCTAAGTCAAAACTGTTTATTTAATTTTATGGGTTTTGGGGTTTTAAAATTTTCTTTGAAATAGTCCCACATCAGAGTAATTGCACAACAAAAAACACATCTTTTAGGAGGCATATTTATGTATGCAGCATATTGTTTCTTGAATTTTAAGTGTTACAATGTATGTGCTAAACTTAAAGATATTAGGGCAGCAAACTGTGCAAGAATTATAGTTTTTGATAAGTTTAATTTGTGCCAATATTATTATACATATTTTTTTTTTGAATATAACAGTGTTTATTTATTCGTTTTATATGTTAATTGTTCATCCTAAAAGTCTTTTTTTTCAAAATTTGTTTCAAAAGGAAATAAAAGGGGCATCTTAATTTGCCTCATCCTTGGTCCCTAAAAATTTTCTTATTACTATTTTCATTTTTGCCAGCGTAAAATTTTACTTAGTATATGTATTTCCTGTTCCTGTTTTTTTTTTAATCATTTCTTTATCTATTTGATGTTACTACCTGAACAGAATAATTTCTTAATATTTCATGATCCGCCACTGGTATATGCATGTTGAGCTGCTGTTCTGGTTTATACACAATACGTCTATGATGGACATGCGTCTCAAATCGTTGATGTAAAAATAAAGTTGCTTGTATTCGTTCCGGTAATTTGTTATCTGTGTGCCACGTACACTTTTTTGTTTTAGAAATTAATTTATGAATAAAACGCAAAAAATTCAACATTTTTATTGTTTTTTTTTATACATCTTAATACAGTTTTCAATAATACGGTGCTTCTACCACATTTCCCCTACTTAATATTCATATTACCTGCTGGAAAGATAATGACGTTCACTAAATATATGACTTAATCAATTTTCAAACAGGTCAAGATTGTACACCTGCATTTAAAATGTCCTAGTTCAGTTTCAACCTGTTTTCTCAAGTTGAAGATCCAGTGATATACACCCCCCTCTTCCCCGCGAACCATGGGTAAATTTGATCAAACAGAACATTGCGGCTAGGAACATGAATTGAGTACGTTAGCTGATACATTATGCCTTTCAAGTGGAAAGGTAGGACCTTTAAATAAATTTAATGAGTCACAGAAACAAAAAGGGGGTTCTGAGACATATATAGGGGGAAATTCAATTTCTAAAAACTGTTTCATGTTTGAGTTTATCGGTATTACTTTGATTACTCTCAACAATTACCTCAGCTTTCAGTACTAGCAGTACTTTGATTTTTCATCGTTAGTATTGTGTGCAAAGTATTCCTTTTTCTATACGGAAGTACATGTATACTTTCTAACAAAGACAAGAGCCGTATCAATTAACAAAAGAACACACAAGAAATTTTAAGAATGAACATGGCAAAGTAAAGACAGAGGGATGTACAACCTGTTGAATTGACAGAAAAAAAGGTATAAAAATAAATCAGAGTCCTGATAGTGAAGATGAAGAAGTTCAACACTTTTTGATTTGATAGAGAATGTTCGAGTAAGTTTTCAAAAAACTTAATTTTAACTATCATGTTTGAATTAAAATTTAAAAGAAAATAATTTTTTTATTAAAATTAATGAAATACATTTGTGTAGAAACTGTTTTAGAATTGGCGTGAATGCTTATCCGTGAAAATCATTTTTTTTTTTTTATGATCTACCAGTATCACGTGATTTTTCAAAGTATACAGATCAAAGAGATAATTATTATTGTCCTTTTCCCTTTTCTATCAGTGAAGGACCAGTCACTCAGCAAAAAAAAAATACATTTGACCCTTTTACAATAGCAAGCGAAAACTTCCTAACACTACTGACATGAAAACGGTATAAATATGAAAAAAGAGAATTTATCAAACAAGGTTGCTTTATTTTTAGACCCTTGTGGGATTATTTTAGGCACTCCAAGCCCGATAAGATATTTCGAAAATAAAAGACGATATAGTTGATCCTAAAAATAATTTAAGATATAACGTTGTTCATGAACACACTGGCGTTGGAGAGAAAAGATATATCGAGGCAGCATGAAATTGTATACTCTTTAAGAATATATAGATTTATACCATGTCGTGATTTATAAACATCTATTTGATGTCTGTTTCTTACTTTCTATAGTGGTCTTGAATTCTTGTGTCACTTCTGTGGTCGATTAAATTACAAAAAAAAATAAACTAGAGACAGAATAATAATTTGGGGATAAAAATAAAACTAAATGGCTTGGAAATAATTTGAATACATGTAGGAACTTAAAATTAGTAAAAAGTTGCGTGCTTCCAGGTTGTAAAAATCATTGGCGCACACTAACTCTGCATCATGACCGCTTTTGTAGAAAGTGTTTGAAATAGTCGAACAAAATGGAAATGTAAAGTAATTTTCCTATAAGTGGGACACTGGGTCATCGATATTAGTGATGCACCATAAAAAAATGTTTGATCTGATTCGTATAAGCGTGCTTGTACTTTTACAATTAAGAGTCTGTCTATTATAGAACTATACGTAGTTATTGGTGACTATACAGATTTATCCCACTGCATTGGAGGTTAATGACGTCAGCGTCTGGTAGGAATTGTTCGACTTAAATGTTAAAAAATAAACGGCCTCAATAAAGACCATCTGGAATATAACAAATATAGCGTAAAATTTTCGCTTTAAGTCCAGTTTGGAAATCTCCATCCATGTTATGTAATCTTTTACTGCATGTTTGATGGATGAAAGGGCATAAAGCAAATTAGATTCTGTATGGAAATTCATTCAGACACATATAATTTAATCATCGAATAATTCAAAATAAAAATGAAAAATCTTTGGAAGAATGTTCATATTTTAAGGTTAGAGCTCTAGGTCTCAAAAGTTGAATTGATTTATTATTTATAATAAATAATGAGGCGCTTCGGGTTTTTTTTTTTTAGAACTTAATTTTTAGAAGTCTTAAAAATGGGCTATCTTCGTGAGCGTTGTGATAAAAACTGAAAAGCAGAAATGAAATTCAATCGAAAATAAAGAAAAAGTGGATCAATTCGTCAGAGAAAAGATATGTCCAGCCTGTATATATGGCTTAAAATCACGCAAGCTAGACCACGTTTTTTTACCCCAATTTTCTGACAAACTGAAATCATTAAACGTCTTCCTTAGAATCCCAAGAGTGAAGTATAGTCCCTAAGACAGAAACATGTTTTCACAATTCGTTCACAACAAAACACAAATCATTACATAATCATAATTCCTAATTGCACGTTGAATTTTCAAAGAGTGCAAAATGCCGGGGGACTTGATTTTTCGGCGAGACGAATGCATCCCCCGTCTTCCATAAGCACAATTAAGGGCAACAAGATGAGTCATGAGTCCTTCAAGACGCTCTCCGCGTATGAAGAAATCCTGGCTTTTGCCATTTACAGAAAACAAACAGACGTGAATCATCCTTAAATATTCATTCTTTAGACTTTTCGCAAAAGAGCTTAATTTGGCAGACATGATTAGTTTGTGTATGTAAATTTATAAGTCTCGCGACTAGCACAAACAAAGATGTTTGTCGAAAGATAAATCTATAATTATGAGAAAGATGATGTCTTCAAAGAAAATTGAAATCGGTGATAAATATTGCTAAATATTGTTGTCATCACAACAAAAATGTGTCCACCTTTTTTCCTTAGTTAACCTTTATCAAGGTTTAGAGAGCTGCTCTCGAGACAACCTTGAACCTTGACATGGCCTTTAATGACATGACACATATATTAAAGTCATGGATAACACATTTTGAAGGTTTCCAATTTAAGACAAGAGTCAACAATTATTTTAAACAGCATTCGCATTGGAATCATGGGCTGGAAAGTTATGGTCATCTGATTAATTGTTATGAACATTTTCAATATCCAGGGTTCGCCTCACTCGCCTGTTTGTTAGAGCGTTTGTTTAATAGTCACAGTGAGCATCGCGGGTTCGAATCGCCGGATGAGACCGCGTCACAGTAGATGCTGGCACGAAAATGATCCCTCGCCGCTTAAAGGCCGTACCGATTACAGGTCCCGTCTGCACCGGCAAGAGACGGCGTCACAATACAAGTGAACAACAACAAACAACAATATTCTATGACCTTGGCCAATGACAATTCATCTTTTTTATTTTTCCTTATAAATGAGAGACAGCATTTATTGGGATTAATGACTACTTCTCTATTATAAATCATAAAGAATGGAGGCGCATAAGACGAGAATTTCCTCACTGAAACAAAATATTTCTCCATCATAAAAGTTTTTAGATAAGAAAAAAGTTTTTTAAAAATATTGTGTGGCCAGTATATCTTTTACGAAAAACATGCATGATTGAAACTCACTCCAAAGGTAGCGATGGGGCATTTAATTAATTCAAGGCTGGCATCATAATTTTTGAACATCTTTAATATTGAAAAATTGAGGGGAAAATGTATCAGAACCCTTTCTCTACATCCTTTCTTAGATTTTTGGAAAATTAACCGCATCAAAGCAAAATTTTATATAAGGAATCAAGGAAATAGTTGAATGATTGATTGTATGTTGTTTGATACCCCATTCGAGAATTTTTCACTAAATATAGAGACGTCATGGGAATGGTATTCAAGCCTTAAATGTTAATCGGTGATAACATTTCGCAACCTACTTTGTAAGATTTTTAACAATAAATATCCATTTGTATACAATAATCCCCCAATAAATCCATGATATTTTTATATTGAAATAATTGAAGAATTCGGTCATCCTCTTAATCCTTATTGTTCCCTATTGCACATAGTAAATCCGGAATATAAAAACAAAATCAGATTTGTAGTTAGTCCAGAGAGGTGAGATTATATTTAGGTCAAAAGCCGTTTTCTGTCAGATGACCTATTTAACACGAATAATCAACAAATGTTCATCGAGTTAAATTATTTATCTACCTAAATTAAAGCTTGAATTCATAAAAGTGAAAAAAAAATGTGACAAAATTAAATTTATCACCCTTACATGTATCGTAAAACAGCCAAAAGCAAAATTAATCAAAAAACTAAAAAAATTATTTTTTTTTCACTTCATTTTGGTAACCTTGGGCATTTTTCTCGACCATTAACCTATTTTCTTTACTTGATAGACCTATTTAGATAGTCCGATCCTCACTTCTGAAATCAAAAGTTGAGATATTGATGATGTTCATAGAAAATGCTTGAATTCTTTAAAAGTATAATGCTTTTGCCCATATGGTATTTCTTTTAAAAAAATTATTATAGCTTATCATATTATGTATGGAAAATTGTCAGATTTTAATTACGCACATATATTTTTAGGAAACGCAAAATATTAAAAATCCGCTGTGCAATCTCTGATTTTAAAATTATTTTGAATAATGCATAGTGTAGAAAGCTTTCACAAGACACCGCAAATCACCTTTAATTTCGCATGCATCATACTTATAAACATGGTACACTTATGCTATATTAAAAGAATTTCGATTGTTGGACGAGAAGTTTTTAATTTCAAGCTCTACACATGTATTTTGAGACTTCAATTGAATAATAATTTAAGAGTTATCATTCCTGGCTGAGGAGCGGAAAACCTTAAAAAAACATTTCTGCTCCTCAGCCAGAAAAGACGTCTCCTAAAACGATTATTTGATTCAAATTGTCAGTATGATTTATAAAATGACAAATTTACCAGCAGTCAGCTCTTGTTTTTTCCTCCCTTTTTTGTATGAATAAATTATTCGACTCACGTACATGAAAGGGGAGTTTTTAACT